TTTAGTGTTTTATTTATACAGTCTTAATTTTTAATGTTTTATTTTAACTATTATTATTATTATTATTATTATTATTATTATTATTATTATTATTGTTGTTTTTTATATTTCAAATTTAATATTGACAAATAATCTAAAATAAATAGATTAAATATGAATATGAATGTAATTGATGATGATGGAGATTGATCCTAAATGAGGGTACATCGATCTTCACTCGACAACATGTTCGATGAATTATATTGGTAAGATGACAAATAATATTAGTAAAGATCTTGTTTATTATAAATTATCTTAAACCTGACACCTCGAAGTATGAAACTTCTGTAATTTAACATAAAGTATGAATTACATTTCAAAAATACATGAATATTAAACTTGAGAGACCCCTTTTCATTAGTAGTTTTACACCATAGATGGTCAAGATGTTAATATTGACATTGCTAATAATGCATGTTTAATGATCTTTAAGATAATTATTTACTAATTTTTCCTAATTAAACATGCATACACATACAACTTTGCAAATTTTGTTTAGATTTAAAACTTGTTGACAATTTTTTCTTATCTATTTTATTTCAAGGTCACTAATGATCATTCATGACATTCAACTTCGTCATTGCATTCAACTTCAGAAGGAAAAGTGATTCATTTAGGTCAAGTAGATGAGAGTGTAATAAAATTGGTTACTACTTAAAAGATTTGAATTGATCATAATAGACTTTATAAATGTCGGGATGATATACTAGATGTAATATAAGGTTCCACTTATATCTAATAATTGGTTTAGAAATCAAAATAAAATTATGCTTCTTGTACATGATGATGGTTATATAAGAGACTAGAATATATAGATTTCTCTTATATACAACCATTTTGGTCCTAATTATAATCAACATATGTTAAGGTAATTAATTATTTAATTAAAACATTAAAATGCAAAATTTAAAAGTATTACACATTATTAACTTTTCTTATAAATAAATAAAAAATTAGGATTCGACATGGACATGCACATGTAACCAATAATTTTTACTTAGAATGGATTCAATATACCATCGGTAGAAACATGAGACTTAGCCGCAAAAGCAAGTTAATCTCTTTATAGTACCAATAAACAGAAACAAAGAGATAATCAATTTTCATAATTCCATTTCAACAACATAATATCTAATTAATTACTAGAGCATCTCAATTTTTGAATATTATACATAGAAAACAATTTTAGTCTTTTGTTGATGATTTAATATACATATGAGAGAGAATAATCACAATAAAGATACATGAGAACTTCATTGTGTGAAAGACAATTTTGAAAATGAAGCTTTATTTTCAGTAACAAAAAGAAAAAAACGTGCTAAAAAACAAAATTATAATAAAAAACAAAGTTTAAAAATAGTTAATCTTATATTTGTAAGATTATTGACAATGTCATTATTATAATATAGTAAAACATCTATATGTTAATAAAAAATAAAGAAAATGATCTCAAGCTGAATCTGATATTATATAAAAATTTTCCCTGTTAAATAATAAAAATTTAATTTTTTCAAAAATATATCAAAATCTCGTTATATTAGAATTTTTATCTATTAAACAATAAAAAATTAATTTTCTCAAAAATATAACAAAATCTCGTTATATTATAAATTTTACTTCTAATCATTTTTTTCTTATTTATTTTTATAATAAATAATTTTAATTAATTTATATGATAATATATCAAATCAAAACAAATAATAAAAACATATTAAATGAGATAAATTAGTTACGATGTAAGAATAATAATTAATAATTAAGAAGTTAATCTTCTCGTTACACCTCAAAAATTTTCTAATATAGCAAATAATTCAATAAAATAACAAAAACAAAAAATACTTTAAAGACATGCTTAATTTTTAAAAACAGGTTCATAAATTCAAGCTAATAATGAGAAAATAGTGAAAAATTCCAATATCCCTAACGAATAGTATATAAACCAAATAATCTTTACCTCTCAGATTGAATATCTCAAGTTGGATGGAGTAATAAACCCGAATTCGACTTTGATAAATTTTACTTAGAACACATATTTTTATTCAAATTACAACAAAATATTATATAAATTTCAAATACATTCCATTCAAAAACTACTATTTTATTTCTATTAAGCATTTAAGCACCCGTATTTATCCTTAATTTGTATTTACACATATAATATAAATAATGAAATTTAATATTATTTATATACCTTTTATCCGTATTTTCTTTTCTTTTATTGATTCTATTTAAAATACTATATTTTATATTTTTTATTAGAACTTATGTATTTTATTTTTATGTTTACTAATTTATAAAGGTTCTTTTTTCTAATTTAATTAAAAAGAATCTGGAATTTTTCCTTAATTTATCCAAGACGAATTAAAACTCTTTTTTACAGTGTAATTAAAAACAGTTTTTTATTATTAAAATTAATCTTCTTTAAAAAAAAATACTTGTTTGCTTGTTGGGCCAAAATTGGCCCAATAATTTGCATAGAAACACTGATATTATACAAACGCGTGTATTGTACTAATACAGTTCCTTTTATGTTTCTCTTTTTCTTCATCTCTCGTATGCATATGCAACAGTTAATGTTACCAACTTTCTCTGTTTTTCTTCCCATTTTCACCTTTTTTAGTCGCTTCCATTTTCATCTATTTCCCTTAATCCTGCTTGAAATTGTACGATTACTTTTCAAAATAAGTAAAACTTTTTAACTCTGTCAATCAATCTCTGCTTGTATTTTTTTCAAAAAATTACTTATTTTGATATTTAAATAAAAAAATTATACTACTTTGTTAAAAAGGACCACAAAAATGGGCTTAAATAGGCCACTTTATGAATTATTGTTGCGACAGAATTTGAGAAAACGCGGAAAAGAATTGCTAATTTGGTGGGGAATGTAGAAGATTGTAGTCAAATATTGTGGCTCCTAGGATTGGTTGACTTTGAATATCTTACCACCACTTATGCTCTTCGTTCACTGATTTTCTGCCAATTTTTCAATATATTTTCGATCGAAGAAATTTTCATTGATGATTTTCTAAAGTAAACAATTCGTTCTCGACTCATCAAATTATTCATAGTTGAGTTTTTTTTTAATATATTTCCAATCAAATTAATATAAAATTTCAATGTATTAATGTGACACTGGAACTATTCTAATTAAAATTAGTAATGGGACCATTCTAATTAAAATTAATAGATTAAAAATGATGATATAATCTGGTCTATTATTTAATTCAGTTTAGTCACAGTTTTTCATTTTGTACGAGAAGGTTGAAAAAAAAAAAGTGAGATGCGTTGACTTTCATACCACGTCATTCCACCCAACTCTCATTTTAAAAATGATAAATTTAAATAAAATTAAATAACAAAACATAGAAGCTACGGCATACAACAGTAATTTTTTATATTATCGTTATATCGATTAAACCTCGTAATGCAATATAATGTGAACAAAAATTCTTTTAAACCATTTATGAAAATTATTTTACGTCAAATAAAATAAAAATAGTAATCTCTTCTTAACACATTCACATTTTGTTGTCAAAATTACTAATTTTTTACGCCCCTCAAATTTATTAATTTATATACATATAATAATTATTGTTTTAAAAAAATAAAAATTATTTTATAAATATAAATAAAATTTAATTTGTTTTTTTATTTTTTTCATAATTTTTTATTTTCAATAAATATCATATTTTTTTCTTTTAAGTAATTTTCACTCATTTTCAATGATAGATGCTTGTTGAAATGTTTTATTTTATTTCTTTTATAGTTATTTTTTAAATAACTTACAAAAATAAATAAATTAAAATAAATGAAGAGAGAATGAAAAAAGAAATAAATTTTTAAAAACTTGTAATGAATCAAAATCAAATAAACTATTTAAAAATAATATAATATTATAAATATTTGTTCTTTTCTTCTCTTGTAATTTTATTTTTTTATATTTTCATTTATTTCACTTAAACTCTTTTTTATACTTATATACTATATATATATATATATTTAAAATATTATTATGGTTAATTTTTATGTAAAAAATATAAGATAATAAACTAAAAAGATAAAAAATTATATAAATTATCATTCATCTTAATTTTTAAATGATATAAAACTAAACTCTTTAACGAATGACTAAGTGCTATTTTTTTTTTTCATATCATTAGTGTATTTATATTCTAAAGAATCAAATATGACCCTCCTGCAGCAAAGACTCAGCGGGTAAAATGGTATGGTGGGAATAATTGATTTGCTGGGACTTAACTTGAAATTATATTTGGCATATGCAAACCAGTTTCATACGATCTTTCAATCCGTATTTGAGTTGAAGTCTGAACATAACTACCATTGTCTCATTCCTATTATCAATTAAAAGTTGCTTTGGAAAAAAGTATGCGTTTTCCAATGTTTAGCGTGTTTGAATTTCTGAAGCTTCCTCTTTCTTCCTAATTTTTTGCGCAAAACAATTGTTAAGACTTCCTGTTGAGAAATCAAAACTCATATCAGTGAAAGCTTAATCAACAGTGTCACACAGAGAAGATACACGCAAAACAAAAGGAACTGATTCAGCGTCCAAGTCAACTGAAGTTTTCTTTTTCTTCCTTCTTTTTATGTGATTCTCGTGAAGTGATAACACAGGAAGTAAACGTGTCATCCAAGGGTTGGTATGGTGTTATCCACTGTTTAGTCAACAACAATCCAAGCCAATTTGAAAATAATTTAGCTCCCAATTCAACTTCAAGAAGCAAAATCAATAACCTGGTTGTTTCTCAGAAATTGGCTTTTCTCAGAAATAATCATCACCAATGAATCAAATAATTCCAAAAAAAAAAAAAAAAAATTGAAAACGCACTCCCTAAATCATTTAATAAAGTGGTACGAATTAGTAGGTTTAGGCCTGCTTGTGTACAATAGCAAAAAAAAATCACTGAGAAATCCTTCCTATACCTTTCCTCTCTGCAACAACAATGCATCTCTTTCCCTTCACTCCCATCATCCTTGTCACCTTTTTGATCCACAACTTCTCTCTGATTCTGGGGCAGCAACCTTATATTGGTTTAGGCACAGTAGCATGCCCTGCAAGAGGTAACAAAAACTCTATTCGAGGTTATACTTGTAATGGTGCAAACAGCTGCCAAACGTACCTTACTTTCAGATCTCAACCCATTTACAACTCTGTCTCCACAATATCTACTTTATTGGGTTCTGACCCGTCCCAACTTGCTAAAATAAATTCGGTTTCCATGAATGATACCTTCGAAACAAACAAGTTGGTGCTTGTTCCGATCAACTGTTCCTGTGCAGGTGAGTATTATCAAACAAACACATCCTATGTGTTCCAGAATTCAGAAACGTACTTCTTGATTGCTAACAACACTTTCGAGGGACTCACAACATGTCAAGCTTTGCAGAATCAAAACTACGACCCAGCAAACATATACCCCGGTAGAAAACTTCTAGTGCCTCTTAGATGTGCTTGTCCCACAAAAAATCAAACCGACACAGGCGTCAGGTACCTCTTAAGTTACTTGGTGAACTGGGGTGATTCTGTTTCATTCGTTAGTGAGAAATTTGGTGTCAACTTTATGACCACTCTTGATGCTAATAGCCTAACTTTGACACAAGCCACGATCTATCCCTTTACCACACTTCTAATTCCCCTTCATGGTAAGCCCTCAAGTTCTCAAACCGTTTCTCCAACTCAACATTCTCCACCACCCTCGTCACCCCCCTCTTCTCATAAAAACAAAACATGGGTGTATGTTGTTGTTGGAGTTGTTGTAGGAGCGGTTGCCTTAACATCTGTTCTCTGTGCTGCCATTTTCTTCACACGCTATCGCAAAGACAAAATCAAGGATAATTCAGTGGTGGCGTCCAAGAAACTTGAGGCAACTGAGAAAAAACCATTAAGGAAAGTGAATGAAAAATTGTCAAAGATCATATCTGGCATAGCTCAATCGTTCAAGGTGTATGATTTCCAGGAATTACAGCGAGCAACAGATAACTTTAGTCCAAGCTACTGGATCAAAGGGTCTGTTTATCGCGGTGTGATTAATGGTGATTTGGCCGCAATTAAAAAGATAGAAGGGGATGTGACAAAGGAAATAGAGATACTGAATAAGATCAACCATTCCAATGTTATACGCCTTTCCGGGGTTAGCTTCCACGAGGGGCGTTGGTACCTTGTTTACGAGTATGCTCCTAATGGAGCTTTGAGTGAATGGATCTACTTCAACGACGTGGATGGAAAGTTTCTGAGTTGGACGCAGAGAATACAGATTGCATTGGATGTGGCCACAGGACTTGATTATCTTCACAGTTTCACTTCTCCTCCTCATATCCACAAGGATATTAACACTAGTAACATTCTTCTGGATGGTGATTTCAGGGGAAAGGTTGCAAATTTAAGCCTTGCTAGGTGTGTGGAAGGAGAAGATGACCAATTTCCTGCCACAAGGCACATTGTTGGGACAAGAGGCTACATGGCTCCCGAGTATTTGGAACATGGTCTTGTGTCTACAATGCTTGATGTGTATGCTTTTGGGATACTGATGCTGGAGATGGTCACAGGAAAAGAGGTAGCAGCTGTTTTAACAGAAGATGAGACAAACTTATCACATGTTTTAAGTGTCCAGGAGAGGTTGAAGGAGTTTGTGGATCCCTCTTTGCGAGAAAATTGTCCATTTGAACTTGCTATGTTTGTGATTGAAATGATTGATCGTTGCATATTGAAAGATCCAGCAAGTCGTCCTACCGTGCATGAGATTGTGCAATCTCTGTCAAGAACCCTGGACTCTTCCATGAGTTGGGAAAGGTCAATGAATGTCCCGCGAAACTAGAGTTTTAGTTGCAACCTCTTGATTTTACAGCAGTTAAAACGAATTTACTTCTGTTGTTTTCATAATCAATTACGTTGTAACATAGTAGTGTTAGTATGTTTGTTCAACTAGTTTTTATAGATGAACACAAATGACGCATGTAGTAATGACGAATGAATAAGAATTTATTCGATAACTATCTTCAAGGTTCTGCAGCTAAAAAGCATCAAGTCTTATGCAACTAAGTCCACGAGAACAACACTTGTCGTAGAAGAGGTGTGAAAGGGACAAAATTGAAGGAGACTTTTTAAATGTTGAATACTCGTCTCGGATTGGTTAACTTGAATATCCTCAAAATTACGAAATAGAAAAAACTTGATTCCAAATTTCGAATTCAGAAATGATTACGAAAATGAATATCATACGATGGAGGAAGAAACATGATCCATGGGTGGGTTTCACCAACTTGAGGACTTCTCATACTTGAATTTGGTCAAAATTTATACGATAGCAGAACTCATTCTAATTACAAGTTTACATAAATAGAAAAACAAAAATCATATCATTAGTATAAAACGGTGCTCATTGGATAAAAAATATTGATTATACAATAGGTTCAAATACATGAAAATAATAAGGGAAAATATAAAAAAAAAATGATGTATTTATGCACATTCTCACATTTATATATGGATCTGCTAGCTCCATATTTTTATTATCAAACCAATATAAAAACCCGTCAAACCGATTCGATGAGACTTGGTTTGGTTTCCTTCCCTATATTTAATTTTTGTAAAGCGAAGACACACCTTGTGAAATATAGTTTGTCATGAAATGGCTAATGTAAAATATATTTGTACTCTTAATTTATATAATTTATTCATAGTATATACAAATTTGAGAACTTTGATAAGGACATTTCTTGACTTTCTCAACTAACTTATTTTGTGTATCTCTTCTTTCGTAACTTAGTGGTGAGTTTTGTAATAAATAGGGTTAGCAAAACATGTTGCCCATTCATTATTTATAGGGTCAAGATTTTATTTTTGCTATCATGTTTTTCTTCACTGATTATACATACAATGATCTTTACGTAATTGTGAGAGTAAAACTAAATTTGTATGATTGTTTTTTTCAACTTTAAATTATTATTACTATGATGACGATGATTGTGTTATTAGTTTATTATAGTTATATTCAAATTTAAACTAATTTATATTTTTATTTAAAATTATAATATTTACTATTTTAAATTTAAATTAAATTGTATTAACTATTACAAGAATTCCTTGAAGAATGTCCTCCATCAGATACATTTTTGGAATTTTCAAACCAGCAGCTTTGACTTGCAGAACTCTCGCAAGAAAGTAGGTATGAGTAGTAATGTTTTCCCAAGCTTCTCAGAGGGACATCATGGCCCACAACTCTCAACGATTCCTATTGTTGGTCCGAGCTTTTTTCTTTTTTTCCTTTGAAGAGTTAGGTACCTCCCTCAATGGTTGGAACAACATGTGAACTTATATATATATATATATATATATATATATATATATATATATATATATATATATATATATATTATTAATTTTAGATGCCCTTCCAGTTACATGAATAACTAGTTGACTTGCAGGAGCATCATTAAAGGGTATAGAGCTAGTCTGCTTTCTTTCGTGCTGGCCATAAAATAATATATTATAAAGGTAGAGACATACATGCATCCGAACTTAAAAGGACATTTTTACTACACAAATCACCATGAAATGCTGAAGATATATAGTGTCTATCTAAAAATTCTCAATTGTCTAGTGAATTGTTTTGAGAGAAGGCAACCACAATTTTGAAGTTAGCAGTGTCTTTAATGCAATGTAAAAAACTTTAAGGTCTTCTTGCATAATGGTAACCCTCCATTAGGCTTCAACATTCACGATTAGGTCCTATGTCCAGCATCGTCACCAAAAACATAAAAGAATGGATGAACAAAATCCTTAATTCTGTCTCTGCAATATTGTGACTTTGTGGTATGAAACATAAGCTTAATGCAATGGCAGAAACATATATTTCAAACTCAATTGTCTTTCTCGCTTGAATTTGTTTGTACATGTAACAAACAACTCCATTTGATTCACATTCAATTGTCATAGAAAATTACAGAGAAACAAGCAAATTTAGCCTAAGGTAAACTGCAATTGCTATTCATTTTGCCCACTCTACCTCAAGCTTTAAAGAACAACAGGGATGGAAAACTAATTTTGAACACTCCCCCAAAACCAAGTTCATCATTATTGACTAAAGGTGGAATCATCATGAAACAGAATACCATCTTGGATTTGAGAAACTAAATTACCTTCACTCAATCAACGAGCTGCTATGGAAGTGACAATATGAGTAGCTTCTACATCTAATCCAGAAGAAGTCAAGGATCTGTCTAATGTAGCTGGAGATGGTTGAGTGAGAAGGGAGAGGCTAAGGACAATTTCTGCTATGGTTGGTCTGGACAAAGACTTGTCTGCAGTACAATTCACTGCCAAGGAGGCCAGGCTGAGAGCATAGTCTACAGGATAGTAACTCACTAACTTAGGATCCATCCATTTTCTGAGCCTCTCCTCTCTATTCTCTTCTTGATCAAAGATCTTCCGAATGTCCTTCCACAGCATAACCACCTCACCATTTTCTTTGGTTGTCATGGTTTTCCTGCCAGTAAGCAACTCTATTAGAACCACCCCAAAAGCAAATATATCTATTTTTGACATCATGGTATTGGTAAAAGTTCTGGCCATGGAGAAATTTCCTATCTTGGCCTTAAAGTTAGAGTCAAGAAGGATATTATTGCTTGTGATGTCCCTATGCACTATTCTTGGATAAGCATGTTCATGCATGTACTGCAAACCCATTGCAACATCCACTGCTATGCTTATCCTCTGACACCATGTAAGGGAGGTCCTTGAGTTTGATGTCTCTGAACAAGACTTGGCAAAAAGCCACTCATCAAGAGATCCATTTTCAGCATATTCATAAACCACAAAACAATTTCCATCATTGTCAGATGAGACACCCATTAATTTCACCAGATTTCCGTGATTCACCTTCTGCAGAATTTTCAGCTCTTCCGTGACATCTTTCTTGAATCTTTTTATTGCTAAAACCTTACCCTCTATGTTTGCTTTGTACACTGATTCCCCAATCTTGCACTGCTCACTGAGGTTCATGGTAGCTTCCATGATTGCATCAGTTTCATACATCGTAGGCTTACTTACATAGCCTGAAACTCCAGAAAGTAATTTATCTGCAGTTTCAGCTGATGAAGCGCTCCTTTTCAAAATCTTCATTTTCAGACAACATACATACACCAGTAATATTGCTAAAACTAAAACCAGTAGTGTGCATACCAGGCTGATACCAATTATAACCGGAAGACGAATTCTATGTTTTCTTCCATCTGAAGGAGATTGAATAAGATCTGGCAAGCTTGTAACTGGGATCAAAACTGGTGTGTTGTTTGCAGCAGTGAAGTTTTGACCATAGTTGTTTTCACTCAATATGTCCTGTTGTGATGCACCAAATTTGTCACTTACAAGGGAGACATTGTCACTGGGCTTCCACACATAAGTGATCAGGTACTTTATCCCTTTATCCAACTGGTTCTTTGAAGGGCACTTGCAGAATAAAGGAAATACAAGTGGGATGCCTACTGGCAACATATTTGGACTTAGATTGGGGTTTAAATCCCTCACTACTTCCCAATTTGTGAGATTCTCGTACAAAGTGGTTGCAACAGAGTAGAAGCTATCACCTTGGTTAATCTCATAGGAGATATTGGCGAAAGAGCGGTTTCCAGTGCAACCACAGGTTACTGGTACCAGTAAGACTTGGTTTGGAATAAGCTGATCTTCCTCATTTTCTAAGCTGCTGGCTCTTGCAATGGACAAAGGACTTTTGTCAAATAAATTGGATATGCTGGTAAGACTCAAAAAATTTGGAGACTGAGATATGTATGTAACGTAGGTTTCACATGAAGTAGGTGAATCGGAAGGGCATGAAAAGTCTGTTCCATTGGTCTGTTGTGATTGGGCTGCAATACTAGTGAAAAAAAACACGAGTACAACACAAAGAATCTGAGCACGGAGAGGAAGAGAAACAAAGATGATAGCCATCGATGAGAAGTTGCTAACAAATGTAAGTTATGAGGGGAATCTATTATCAGTGGCAATCGTCGTTGTTGTACGTAGAGTTCTTTGTCTATAAAAATCTGGTCCTGTCTGTGTCATTAGCTTTAACTATATTTCCTTTTGGTTTTCCAAATTCTAGACAACGTGGACAGCGTCAATATTTATATTAGCCAAATTGTATGCAATTCATGCGCTGATATATAAAAAATGGCACTATATTACTGTAATGTCAAATCAAAGTTTTGGACGGCCAGTTAATGTTCCTACCAGTTCTATCTAAGCACTATGTCGGACAGCAAGCCGACACCAATACACCCACTAAACTTGATGATCTCTTGGGGTAGGGGTAGGGGTAGGGGTAGGGGTAGGTTTGCTTAGACTTTTAACAAGGACCAAGACCCTTATTAGCGACTGTTATTTACAAAATGATTCATCATAGTATAACACTTTATCAAATTCACTTTCATTTATTTTTTAAGAAAAAAACACAAAATAGACTATCTTCAGAAGTTGTGCAAGACGAACACATGTTAGAATATTGAATGTAAAAGGCAATAAATAGAGTTCGGACTAAACTGAATCGCTTTTTAAATGATGTTATGGGATGGGATATCAAACGATACTATCGGAGATGAAGTTTTTAACGAAATTATGGAGTAAGTTGAAAGAAAGAAAATTTCGGAAGAAGTTCGGAGATGAAGTGGAAACAATATTGGATGAAGCAAAAGGATAGAAAGCAACAACTTCACACAAAGGGAACAAAACTGATTTTATGCAGTTTAATAATGCAAAATTTAGAGTCAGGTCTTAAATGTTTATAACCTTTATCATGTCGCATCAATATGTTTCAGTAAGAGCTTCTAACCTAAATCTTACATTTTGCTAATACATCTAGATTGAAGATCCTATTGTGATTAAAAAATCATGTATCCGAAGCATGTTTCTATCCTTGTTCTTTCAATAAAAAGTCACCACATAATTTAATTATTATGTTTTATTTTTAAGTTGGGTTTAGAAATGAACAAAACGATAATCATGACTAAACAAAACGTGAAACATATTAGGTCCTCTTTACCCAAAACTGTCATTCCAAAAACATATCAGACATTTAATTCTAATGATTAAAATCTCTTACTCTAACAATAGAACATAATAGGATTATAGTTGTAGTAACCTACCCGACAAAATCTTTTTCAAATTTTTTATATGTTTCCATTTATGATAATAAAGTTTATATTGCAACACAAGATGTTAAAAAAAAAAAATCATCCATTTGCTCTTGAATATAGATCACCCATTTCGTCCTCAAATTATTATCTCCTCTTCTAAATAGTTCTTAGAGTAATAAAGTAGTTTCAGAAATTTGAAAACTCATAAGTTTAGTCTTTAAATTGATGTAATTGAGTAAAGGCCAAGAACCAATTTGAAGGTTATTTTTTCAACATTTAAGGCATAACTTACATAATTTCTAATGCTTTGAAGCAAGTTTCCTTACTCTCTAAGGACCATTAACGAGAGGACAATAATTCATAGATCAAATTGATTGACTCATTCAAATGCCGTCCTATAGGATTCTCTTAACGTTGTTCGGTCACCCTTCCTTTGAGTACCGAGTGCATCTCTTGTTTATTCATATCTGAAATTTGTAATCAAATACTTAGTCAGAAAAATAAAAGAAATTGAAAACTGCTACAAGATAACCAATAACAATTAAAAAAATGATTCTCATGTGATGCCCTGCAAATTGCATAAGTCAACCGGCGACTGAATGCAGCTCTCCACACGTTAAAGTAGAGCTTGATTAAGTGGATACAACGAAGCATTTGGTAGCCATAAGATCAAAGGCTCATTTCTGAGCATCAACCCACGTCCTAGCCTACAATAAATATTCAGAAATATAATAAATAGAGTAACCTAAACTTTTGTTGTCAACCTCCGCGTCTAAAATAATCTCCAGTACTATTGTTTTCATGATTTTAAATTATGGTCGCAATTTAGATTGCAGTCACCACAATCCTTGATATCGAGAAAAATACATACTAATGTGACCGTAGTTGTGGTCACGGCAATAAAACAATTGCAAACATTGTTTAAAACCTTGGATTGTTTTACACACCTATCGTATAGACCGATGGACAACTCTAGCCCCCATTTTAAGCAAAAGAATTAGAATAAATATTATAAACTCTTGTGAGATCTGCAGAGCTGACAGTCCATTCATGACCCTGCAATGCAAGTGGAAGAACCGTATTTATTTCCTCACAACTCTCTTCCACTGCTGCAGCCTCTCTCCGTCTCCCCTCTTTCCAGAGGCTTTTCACTAACAACTCTTTGGTGGCAGAGTCAGGCACTAAACCAGAATTCTTCATGTCTTCGAATAGCCTCCATGCTAGTGCAGCTCTATTTGACTTGCAATAACCTTGGATTAATACCTTAAACAAATAAGCATCTGGCTCTAGACCGCTCTGCCTAACCATTGCAAAGAGCTTTTGCACTGTTTTTATGTCCCCAAGCTGTGAAAAGTAGAGCATTAGGCCTGAAAATGTCTGGATATCTGGGCAAATACCATTTAAAATCATGTCATCAAGCATATCCAAGGCATCGGAATTTCTTCCACACTTTGTCAATGTTCTTAGAAGAGACGAATAAAGAAGCATCAGGTTAACATTTGATATGGGACCGCAAAGTATTCGATCATCATTGAAAACCTTCATAGCAGCATCAGCATTTTTTGAAATCCCATAAAAGTCAATGATCAGTCTGATGGTGCTGAATGGTAGTCTCATTCCCTCGATTCTGATCTTGGAGATGAGTGTATCAACCAAGTCAGTACGTCCATGACGAGCTAGAAAGGTCATGATTCTTTGTACCGTGTATATGTCATGAGTAAATCCACTATGATTAGAAACCCAGCAGAAGAAACTCCATGCAGCTTCTGGTGTTTTGAAATTTCTAAGCATCTTGCAAATCAACCTTGTTGTCCACACAAAGTTTGCACCCTCTAGTGCTGCTACCTCATCGGGACTCCAATTCCGCAAGGCTCCGGCCAAAGACCGTGGGTCCAGCCACGGTTTTAAATGAATTCCATCAACATTATCACATTGAATAGCATCATTTATTTTCTCATCTTCACCCTCATTCTCATTCTTATTATCATTATCATTATCATCATCCTCCTCACCACTATCAATAGAATAACTTACACTCCTGATTCTCTCATCTGGAAAAATTCCTCTCAGTAATTGCTCCTTATCTCCAAGAATTCCTTCCTCCTTCCTCTGCTGCAGCAACAAACTCAAGCCTTTACTAGGCAATATTCCATCAACCTGCATTTCATCAGCTAAAATCCTCAATTCATCAAACCGTTTGCTACCTACAAAACTCTCAAGCAGAACGGAGTACTGTTTCAAAGTGCGTTTGACCCTCATCAAAGGCAACAAGTTAAAAACCTCCATTGCTTCTGATAACTTCCCGGACTTCACAAGGTGCTCGATTATTACAGTGTAGCTTCTGCAATTCGGCAGAGACCCTTCATCAATCATCCTCTGAAAAACTCGTACAGCCTCGGAGTCCTTTCCCATTTGAGCATAAAGAGCCATAACAATGTTATATGATTCAGTGCATAGATGACTGCTCTCAAGCGTATACTGTTCCCACACTTGAAGGACAGTGTCAAGGTCCCTAGCTGCAGCATGCCACTGCATGAGATTCATGAAGCTGATCCGAACAGTGCCGAATCGGTTGGCTCTGATAGCATCAGTGAGAGATTTGAGCTCAGAACATCTACCAGCCTTGGCAAGCACAGTTGCAAGTGCATGGAGTGTGTTGTGGGTATGGGAAAAACTAGAATTTTCTTCGAATGCATGGACAAGGGAAAGAGCGGAATCTGCAGAAGGCGCAGAACGAAGGGCATGAGTGAGCACGAAAGAGTCAAAAAGACGATGGTTTATGAGAGAGGGAAGGGAGGAATTCGGGTTGTTAGACCGTAGAGTGAGTCTAATGGAGTCAATGAGTTTGGCACGGTTAAGGTAGTGAGAAACTTTTGTGGGAAATGGTTCACGACGACGGGCATAGCAACGAGCGTGCACTAGCGAGCTTAACCCGTTCAACAGGTTAACCTCGCAAAACAACGACCTCAAGTGCATTCGCATTCAGCACTGCCAAGGTTGTTTATGCTTACGATTCAATACCCAGGAACCGTTTGTATTCTTCCTTGGGGTGACGCAAAGAATCAAACAGTTGGTGCGCGTGTGCATGGATGGATGAGCAAGGACACAAGGAAAATGAATAGCAGAAACTAAGTACAGTGGGCTCCAATCTTTCTTTTTTTTAATTGGTGTGCTACAAAATCCAAACTTCTTTTACACTGTCCAACGATAATGGGCTCATAATATGAGGACTAGGCCTTAACAAGTAAATCAATTAACGTGGAGTTATTCTCTATCTATAACAATGTGATTTTCAATTCAATTTTAATAAGATAATGAATTAATCAGTAAACTGAATAATAGAAAAATTGGGAATTCGTAAATAAATTTATAACTTTTAAATAAATTATTGAAAAACCTGAAAAGTATAATTTCTTTTTATATAGAGTGAAAAAGTGTTTGATATAAACCAAAATAAAAAAAATGCATAAATTTAGTAATAATGATAAAACTCTAAGTATTTTAAAAATCATTTTAAAATAGTTATAAATAATATATATATATATATATATATATATATATATATATATATATATATATATATATATATATAATGAGAATAGTCACCCAATGGTCTTGAGATTGGCAGAATAAAATATCAAATTGGTTGAATTCAGATTGAGATTAAATTTTTTTATTTATAAGAAATCGAATTTAGCAATATAATCTCTCACCTCATTATCATGTCCATCCTTAATTTTATAAATATTTTCTCACAATATAATATTTTTCTTATTGAAAATATACATAAAAAAAGGAAAATATACATATGTAACA